TAATTCCCTGATTAAATGTAAGAATTTGACTCAAAAGATAATGGACACTTTTAGAAAAAATGGCTTTATAAAGGTAAAAATGCCCATAAAAGGTAAAAATCAGTTTAAACTTATTGGAAAATATTAATTTCTATCAGTATGAACTGACCACCACACAGAATATGAAGAATATTAAAAACATTAGGAGTCAGCTGTCTTCGGCAGTTCTTAAGGTACCAGCACAATAACACACTCAGCAAAATATCGTCTAATTATCGTCATCGATAAAATCCCAGAAAATATCGAGATATAATTTGTCAATATCGCACACCCCTAACTCACGTCACTCACACATGATCACTCACGCACGATCACTCACTCAGCAACACTCACACATACTCACACTCGCTCACTAATACTCTCGCACACTCACACTCACGCATACTCACACTCACGCATGCTCATACTCACACTCACGCACACTCGCTCATACTCGCTCATACTTGCTCATACTCGCTCTCATACTCACGCACTCATACACTCACTCATTCTCACGCTCACTCACGCACGCTCACTCATTCATACTCACACTTGCTCACGCACGATCACTCACCCACGATCACGCACGATCACGCACTCATACTCACGATCACTCACGCACGATCACTCACACATGATCACTCACGCACGATCACTCATACTCACACTCACTCACGATCACTCACTCATACTCACGATCACTCATACTCACACTCACGCACGATCACTCATACTCACGATCACTCACACATGATCACGCACGATCACTCACTCATACTCACGATCACTCACAATCACTCATACTCACACTCACGCACGATCACTCATACTCACACTCACGCACAATCACTCACACATGATCACTCACGCACGATCACGCACACTCACTCATACTCACGATCACTCACCCACGATCACTCACACTCGCTCACTCATACTCACACTCGCTCACTCATACTCACGCATGCATGCACTCACGCACACTCTCTCATGCACGATCACTCATACACTCACACATGATCATGCACGATCACTCATACTCACACTCACGATCACTCACACATGATCACGCACGATCACTCACTCACACTCACGATCACTCACACATGATCACGCACGATCACTCACTCACACTCACGATCACTCACACATGATCACGCACGATCACTCATACTCACACTCGCTCACTCATACTTACGCACGCATGCACACTCACACTCACGCACACTCTCTCACGTACGCTCACTCATACTTACGCACGCTCACTCATGCACACACACTCACTCACAATCGCTCATGCACACTCGCTCACTCACGCACACTCACTCACACATGCTCACTCACGATCACTCATACTCACACGCGCACTCACCCTCACTCTCACATACTCGCACTCGCTCACGCTGTCACGCACACTCGCTCACGCACACTCACTCACTCTCACGCACTCTCGCATTCGCACACACTCTCACACGCACACTCACACACACGCACACTCACACACACTCACACACACGCACACTCCTGACCTGCGCGGGATCTTCTCTCCCTCTGTGTGGTTCTCCTCTCCCTCGCCCTGCATGTCAGGAACCGCTGCCACCAGATCCTTGAGGAAGTCAAACTGCTGTTCCAGCTCAATGCACTGCTTCCTGCAAACACACACACACGCATGAGGAACCGGGCCAGTGAGCGGCTGGAACGACACACAGATGACGGCTGTGACTCACAGGTGTGAGGTGGTCATGGTTTTAGCATTGCGTGACTGTGTGACGTGACACGCTTTGGTCAGGAGAGACTCCAGGAACAGCTCCAGAGCACGAGCTCAGATCACAGTCAAGGAAAGATGAGACACTGAGAACACACCAACAGACACATTTACATTCATGCAGCTGACAGACACTTCACTGCTCTGAAATCTGCACAGATCAAGCAGCGTTTACACGCCAAAACAGCTCTGAACAAATATGTGGCTGGATTTTGATGTGAGAGACAACAGCAGATGCACTTTTTCACTGGAGGAAGCGTTATTATGGATTATGGACTGCTCATCCTCAGGCCATCCCTGTTTAGGATGCGTTTGTTTCTTCATCAGGTTTGTAGAAATGTAGCACTGCATCAGTGTCTCAGCAGTGAATGGGTGCCGTCAGAATGAGAGTCCAAACAATGCTGGATTAGTTTCAGCTTTTGTCTTCTCCAGATATTAACTGATGGACTGGAGTGCTGTGGATTACTTGTGGATTATTGTGATGTCTTTATCAGCTGTTTGGACTCTCCAATGCTGGATTAGTTTCAGCTTTTGTCTTCTCCAGATATTAACTGATGGACTGGAGTGCTGTGGATTATTGTGATGTTTTTATCAGCTGTTTGGACTCTCATTCTGACGGCACCCATTCACTGCAGAGCATCCATTGCTGAGACACTGATGCAATGCTGCATTTCTACAAACCTGATGAACCTAAAAATACACAAGACGACATGTTGTGGAAGCAAAATAGCCCAAAACACCACAAACAGTGACAGTAAAAGGATACAGATGATGACAGGAACTGCGGCGGCGACTTTGCCGATTTCTTCATCCGTCTGCATGATCTTCTTAATCCTGGCCTGCAAAACCAAACACAAAGACTCTCCAGTCATTCAGTCGCCGGCGCGCAGAACCGAGCTTGATCTCTACATGAGAAGTGAAAGACGCAAGGCACAGATCAGTCATGCTGTGAGAGTCCGAAGTCAACACAAGCACATGTCTGACTGTATCCGACACACGATCACAAAACAACAACAGAGTCAGTGTGAACGAGTCCAGTGTGAACGCAGGCTAATCCTGTTAAACACAGCAGACTGGCTCTACAGTGCAACACAGCTAGCATTCATGCTAACCCCCTGAAGCGCAAATCTTCACAGTAACCCTCACTAAAAGACTCTTATTGAGTAAATACGATGGAAAACACTCCCTCACGGAGTCAGAACGAGCCCGATTGCAGCGGATTCATGGCAAACACACTGGTTTAGCGAGCTGTGTGTGCTGAGGTGCGTCTCTCACCGGGGGGAACCTGGCGTTGTATTTCTTCTTTTTGCTCGGCATCTCGGTTCCGTCGCAGTCTGCTGTCTAACTCAATACATATGAAGGATGAACTCGATGGATTCCCGCGGGTCCGTCGCTAAAACGATTAAAGCGCCATCACTGATCACCGTCCGTGCGTTTCTGCGATTTCTATCGGCATTTTACGGTGGATTTTTGCGGTATTTCTGGCTGCGCGAGCTCTCGCTGCTTTACGGCGCTTTTTGTGCTTCCGGGTGTTTAAATAAAGTTACAAAGTCGGACACCGAAACAACTTACAATAAAAACACGTTTTTATAATAGGATTTAGACATAGACGAAAAATTATTGTTATTATCATTATTGTTTTTATTTCCCTTGAACACCAGCGCTTCACACTCCATCACGGGAGGCGGCGGAAATGAACCAGCAGAAAACGACAACCGAGAAGCAGTAGAAGAAGAACCAGCGGAAACCGGAAGTGTTGAGGCGGAAAGCGGGTGAGAGCCGCAGTGACTCAGCAGAGGTTTGCTAGAAAAACACACAACAGAGTGAGAATTTTGCACTTTTAATATGACAGTGAACAGGACTTGGATTTGTGATGAACTATGTGGTTGAGTGAGAGGCAGCGCATCAGTGAAGAGCTGATAATATAAACTCTGATAGAGAGACCCAGCAAACCTGTGTGTGTGTGTGTGTGTGAGAGCGAGAGAGAGAGTGTGTGAGAGAGAGAGCGTGTGTGTGTGTGTGTGAGAGCGAGAGAGAGAGTGTGTGAGAGAGAGAGCGTGTGTGTGTGTGTGTGAGAGCGAGAGAGAGAGTGTGTGAGAGAGAGAGCGTGTGTGTGTGTGTGTGAGAGCGAGAGAGAGAGTGTGTGAGAGAGAGAGCGTGTGTGTGTGTGTGTGAGAGCGAGAGAGAGAGTGTGTGAGAGAGAGAGCGTGTGTGTGTGTGTGTGAGAGCGAGAGAGAGAGTGTGTGAGAGAGAGAGCGTGTGTGTGTGTGTGTGAGAGCGAGAGAGAGAGTGTGTGAGAGAGAGAGCGTGTGTGTGTGTGTGTGAGAGCGAGAGAGAGAGTGTGTGAGAGAGAGAGCGTGTGTGTGTGTGTGTGAGAGCGAGAGAGAGAGTGTGTGAGAGAGAGAGCGTGTGTGTGTGTGTGTGAGAGCGAGAGAGAGAGTGTGTGAGAGAGAGAGCGTGTGTGTGTGTGTGTGAGAGCGAGAGAGAGAGTGTGTGAGAGAGAGAGCGTGTGTGTGTGTGTGTGAGAGCGAGAGAGAGAGTGTGTGAGAGAGAGAGCGTGTGTGTGTGTGTGTGAGAGCGAGAGAGAGAGTGTGTGAGAGAGAGAGCGTGTGTGTGTGTGTGTGAGAGCGAGAGAGAGAGTGTGTGAGAGAGAGAGCGTGTGTGTGTGTGTGTGAGAGCGAGAGAGAGAGTGTGTGAGAGAGAGAGCGTGTGTGTGTGTGTGTGAGAGCGAGAGAGAGAGTGTGTGAGAGAGAGAGCGTGTGTGTGTGTGTGTGAGAGCGAGAGAGAGAGTGTGTGAGAGAGAGAGCGTGTGTGTGTGTGTGTGAGAGCGAGAGAGAGAGTGTGTGAGAGAGAGAGCGTGTGTGTGTGTGTGTGAGAGCGAGAGAGAGAGTGTGTGAGAGAGAGAGCGTGTGTGTGTGTGTGTGAGAGCGAGAGAGAGAGTGTGTGAGAGAGAGAGCGTGTGTGTGTGTGTGTGAGAGCGAGAGAGAGAGTGTGTGAGAGAGAGAGCGTGTGTGTGTGTGTGTGAGAGCGAGAGAGAGAGTGTGTGAGAGAGAGAGCGTGTGTGTGTGTGTGTGAGAGCGAGAGAGAGAGTGTGTGAGAGAGAGAGCGTGTGTGTGTGTGTGTGAGAGCGAGAGAGAGAGTGTGTGAGAGAGAGAGCGTGTGTGTGTGTGTGTGAGAGCGAGAGAGAGAGTGTGTGAGAGAGAGAGCGTGTGTGTGTGTGTGTGAGAGCGAGAGAGAGAGTGTGTGAGAGAGAGAGCGTGTGTGTGTGTGTGTGAGAGCGAGAGAGAGAGTGTGTGAGAGAGAGAGCGTGTGTGTGTGTGTGTGAGAGCGAGAGAGAGAGTGTGTGAGAGAGAGAGCGTGTGTGTGTGTGTGTGAGAGCGAGAGAGAGAGTGTGTGAGAGAGAGAGCGTGTGTGTGTGTGTGTGAGAGCGAGAGAGAGAGTGTGTGAGAGAGAGAGCGTGTGTGTGTGTGTGTGAGAGCGAGAGAGAGAGTGTGTGAGAGAGAGAGCGTGTGTGTGTGTGTGTGAGAGCGAGAGAGAGAGTGTGTGAGAGAGAGAGCGTGTGTGTGTGTGTGTGAGAGCGAGAGAGAGAGTGTGTGAGAGAGAGAGCGTGTGTGTGTGTGTGTGAGAGCGAGAGAGAGAGTGTGTGAGAGAGAGAGCGTGTGTGTGTGTGTGTGAGAGCGAGAGAGAGAGTGTGTGAGAGAGAGAGCGTGTGTGTGTGTGTGTGAGAGCGAGAGAGAGAGTGTGTGAGAGAGAGAGCGTGTGTGTGTGTGTGTGAGAGCGAGAGAGAGAGTGTGTGAGAGAGAGAGCGTGTGTGTGTGTGTGTGAGAGCGAGAGAGAGAGTGTGTGAGAGAGAGAGCGTGTGTGTGTGTGTGTGAGAGCGAGAGAGAGAGTGTGTGAGAGAGAGAGCGTGTGTGTGTGTGTGTGAGAGCGAGAGAGAGAGTGTGTGAGAGAGAGAGCGTGTGTGTGTGTGTGTGAGAGCGAGAGAGAGAGTGTGTGAGAGAGAGAGCGTGTGTGTGTGTGTGTGAGAGCGAGAGAGAGAGTGTGTGAGAGAGAGAGCGTGTGTGTGTGTGTGTGAGAGAGAGAAAGAGAGAGTGTGTGTGTGAGAGAGAGAGAAAGAGAGAGTGTGTGTGTGTG